ACCCTTAATAATCTATAATAACTTATTTCATATTTTATCTAAACCTTCCTGGATATTAAGACAATTCTGGCCAAATGAAAGATACGTTGTGTGTGTGAATTTGCACGTTATAATGTAAGCATCATTAATGACCCATTTTTCTTAAAAAAAAAAAGAAAAGAAAAGAAGATTAATTAGTGAAATGAAAGAATGATTTAATAAAAAATCTGAATTAGTAATCGTCTCTAATTGGCCTGTTTAGCTAAGCCCTCAAAACACTTCTTATTTAGTGGTACAGTACTGCATGATTTGTAGATTATATTTAATAGTTTACACTTTGCATAAACGTTTACAATTCGTTTTTAAAAGGTAACATTACATTCTCTACGCCGCTTACATTTCTTTTCAAGAGCACTTGTGCTCCTGCTCAAAAAAAATTAAATAATTGGGAACACCTTCTGATGAATGACAGAAATTAACCTTCCTATTATAAGGCGATATTTGACTCCTTAAAAGTTTTATTTTATTTTATTTTTTTAAACCTTTGTAATGCCTGTAACTTTACTAAATGTACGCCATCTTTTGTGCCAAAAAAATGTTGAATTATGAACTTATCAAATTTTAATTAAACAAAAAATTATATTAAAATAATTAGATACAATCAGGAAGAATAAGTTAACCTACTAGTCAAATGAAATCAGCATCAACAATTCATTTTTGCACGGCACAGATGTGGCATTACAGACTTTTTGACAAGACTCAGCGGTGGCATTAATGTATTTCATAATAACAATGTTATGAAATTAATGTTTTAAATATAAAGTTTTGAATGTAGAAATATTAAATTTAAATGACTCAATTTATACTTTAAAATTACACTGAAACCACCAGTAGGTGGCAGCAAGTCACTGTCTTTGTCACTGAATCATTCATTCAATCGATTCGTTCAAATGGCTGATTCATTTAAGAACAAAGCATGGGACTCCCTCTATGACTCACTAGATTTGTTCAAAAACACAGATTCATTTATAAACAAAACAGCGCTGTGTTTGCTTGGAGATGCGCAGCGGTTCAGCTGTGATTTGTTTGGAATTATTTTAGTTGAGGAAATGGAGCATAATCAGACAACAGTGTTCCTAAAATGTAAGTCACTTAAAATTAACTTGCGTATAAAATCAAAAATGTATAAAAATGTTGTATAAAATCTATTTCACATTTGCAAACTCCCTTTATAATCATTAAAATTCTGTCACTCGTCTTAGTTCATCACGATCTCACAACCTTCCGTTTTAATTAATGAAGCTCTCTACACTGCACACTGAATCTATTATTTACATCGTCTCCACACTTCGTTATAATGAATGACAAAAACTGCCGTCAGCTTTCACGATCTGTGCTGTGCCGATAGAGAAGCATTTCCATTGGCTGCAGTCTGCAGGTATTATGGCCAATCACAAAAGACGGCAGTGCGCAGTGAACCATAGACGCAAATATCCCTTTACGTTTTTAGTCTATATCGCGCTAGGTTTATGTGCAGAACTGGGATCGCTTTCGTAGTCTTTTGAATGGATAAAACATAGAAATCACTTTAATTTCCAAATAAGCCTAACCAGTTGGAAATGAAACGCCGTCCCCCCTCGAACTTCACCCAGACTCCGTCCCCTCGCCCCCCCATTTCCAGCCCTGGTTATAACATGAAAATAATAAATACTATCATCCAGAATTACATATCAGTTCATCCGCAGAACTGGCTTGTGTGAAGTATTTCTGGCTTAAAGGGGTCATTGGATGCAAAACTCACTTTTACATTTTTGAACTGAAATGTGTCTTGGAAGTGTGTGTACACATCCACCCTCTGACAAAAATCCACCCAGTGTTTTTTTTTAAATCCCTATAAATCATTTTCTCAAATCAAGCCGTTCACAGATTCTTGGCAGAATGACGTAGTTCAGCACAGGCCCCTCCCATGATTGTTGATTGATATGGGCGTCAGTCTTTGGTTTTAGCACAGACCCGTCTAGAGTGAGCGGTCACCATTGTCTCGACGCCGGAGCACGTGTAGACTAGAATGTCTCCTAAGCGATTGAGGTGTTTTGTTGTTGGATGTAATAATGAACATAGCAGTCGTCATTTACTCCCGACATCTGAACCGCTGAAGAGGCAGTGGATTATTTTTGTTTTTGAAGGGAATGCGCCCCCCTATCTACCTAAATGCATCGGTGTTCGCGCGAATCATTCATGATCCAGCTTTACCTACAGAAGAAGTGAGAATACGTTTTTTAATGAATCTTTGCAAATCACCTTTCCTAATAATGTGCTAGTTAGCAATAACGAATGCCGCTAAAGTTAACAGTTTAGAGAACAGCTCATCACCCCACGGAAGAGAGGGGTGGGGTGAGCAGGGCTCATTAGCACTTAAAGGGGTCATATGATGCGATTTAAATTTTTTCTTTCTCTTTGGAGTGTTACAAGCTCTTGGTGCATAAAGAAGATCTGTAAAGTTGCAAAGACTAAAGTCTCAAATCCAAAGAGATATTCTTTATAAAAGTTCAGAGTCAGCCACACCTACCTAAAACGGCTCGTTCTAACACGCCCCCACATATCTACCTCACTATGTGGGAAGATTTGCATAACGCCGCCCAAATGTTCACGCAAAGAAAGAAGGCGTAACTTTTATTCTCACTGTAGTATTGTTGACGCTGCAGCAATGTCGTGAAGACGCTGTGTGTTTCGTTGTGAAAGCGAAACTACTTTGTTTGGTCTTCCAAAAGAGGACGATATCTGCTTTGTCATGCCTGGAGCTGATCTGTGCTGGTCGCTGAGGGAATACATCAACTTTCACCGTGGACAAAGCGGAGTCCAGCCCGGGGTCGTCACATGTGGTTGCCGCTCATTTGTCGGATCCTCCGGGCGCACCGTTCTCGACCCCGCCGCCTCAGCTCACGCTAGCCCGGCCTCAGCGCACGCTAAGCCGGGGCTTCTCCTCACGCTAGGCCGCTGTGTTGTTCATTGTGAAAGCGAAAGTAATTTGTTTGGTCTTCCAAAAGAGGACACGACTACAAATCAGTAGTTAAGTTGTATTTATTACAACACCAGGGTTTCTGCAGACATGAACAAGTTAAATTTAAGACTTAAGACCTTTTTA